AGCTACATTAGCAGTTAGCGGAGTTGAGGCAGAGCAGCCGGAGGACGTCAGAGGGGATTTTGATATATAAATTGTTAAATATGGGATCAATATAACTGAGGTTAAATAAAATTTTTCATTTCACTGGACATCTGGATATCTGTTAAGACTTTGTTTTAGATCCGTGGTTGCCAAACTTTTTCTTTTAGTTTTCTCCTTTTCTATCATTGAGTAAACTGACAAACTGTTTATTTTATTTTTATTTATTCTTTATTTTCTCAGGGTTCATTTCTAGAATTGGTTCATTGAATGTTAAATTATTTAACATGTTGAAGAATATTTAATAGGGCTAATAAAGTTATTTGTTGTCATATCCTGCAGAATTAATCTATTTACATTCTAGCTCTTAATCTGTAATTGATTAATCGGTATCAGGCTCTAAATGACTTTTTGGGTTTTGTTTGTCAACAATATTTTAAAACATTGATCTCATCAAATGAACTCACTGATGAAAAGAGGATTTTTTTCAGTTTTAACGGAGCTATGTTAGCTGTTTCCTCCTGTATTTTGTGCTAAGCTAGGCTAATCTGATGGACCTGATATCCGTCCTTCTGACATAAAATGGAGACAAAGCAGCAGCGCTCTCAGTGATTGGTTGTGTGTGAACAGCTTGCAGCCACATATTCAAATGTGTGGGATCCTATCTGATTTCCATAGATTTGTGTGTGATTGTCTACAGCTCTCGATGCATTCACTGCAGATCTGCAGGCTGTAGATGCAGGCAGGTTCGTGAAGAACTAGATTACATTTCAGCTGAATAACTTTGGACTGTTGGTTGGACAAAACAACGCTTATATTCGTCACCTCGGACTGTGGAAGCTTCTGTAATGTTCTGAATACAGTAAAGGTTGAACAATGTGTGCGAACCCGACGCCTCTGGAGTTGTTAACCCAGTGCAACTGTTCACCACGCCAGTTGTCCGATGCATCATCCTGTACTGTGATACTGTGGTCCAATATAAAGCATACACCTAGTACTGAAATAATTAGTCCATTAATAGATTAGATTTCATTTATCAAACAAAATGTCAAACATCCTCCAGTTCCCGTTCCCCTAATATGATGATTTGCAGCTTTTCTTTGTTTTATATCTTTGTGGATTGACTGTATTTGGGTGTGGACGTGATGACATCGGGTTGTCCCCAGGGTCCTAAAAAGTCTAAATTCATGTTAATCTGAATTTCCTGCCTGAAAATGTCTGAAATATCTACGTTACTGTACAGTTGAGTAAATGTGTTTTGGGGAGAGATCAGTATTGATCACACTGTAACAGCTACAAGATGAAACCGACATGGAAACAATACTGATTTTCCTTCAAAGCCTTCGTACTTTTATTGCCACTATGGACGTAAAACATTCCTACTGGTCTTAAGGTCTTAAAAAGTCTCAGATTTAATCTGCTGAAACCTGCAGAAACTCTGCACTGAGGGAACCGTAAATCAGAAAATAATAATAAAGAAAGTCTCAAGAAAGGTTTTTATTGGGACTTTATTAGATACGGGCCTGTATTTGTTTATTGTTCCAGGCCATGTTCAAGTACAGTCTGTAAAACTAACCTCTGTTTGTCTGTGTCTGTGTTTAGAAACCCTGCTGGATGACTTCATGTTGACACATCCCATCTTCCTGACGGCAGACAGGTTTCAGCAGGTCCTGCTGCAGCAGTATCTTTCACACGTTCACACGTTCACACGCATAACTGCCCCGACAGAATGTGCTCGCAGCGCCGTGTGTGTGAGCACGGCTGCGTGACGGACGTCCACATACGAACAGACATTAGAGCTGTGGAACTGACGCTGCTCCAGTTTTATCTGACCAGGGAACACAGTTTGTGTCTGCAGGCCAACGCGGTCTGAGCAGCTCCTGTTTTCAGTCTGTCCCTCCCAACTCAAATACTGCAGCTTCATACGAGGCTGTACGAATGCCTCTGGTGTCAGTCCTGGACCTGCAGGGCTCTGCACTGAAGTTAGCAACAATAAATGTGCAACGTCCGGTCCGACAGACGGTCGGTTTGTTTAGGTTTAGGGAAAACATCGTAAGTTAACTTGCTTACCTGAAAGCAGAGTGTCTTTTACTGTGTGTCTCCTGTAACAACAGGCAGTCAGGGAGGACTGAGTTCTCCACTGCCGTGCAGCTACTGATCAGTCTGTCCATTAGAAACTCAGTAAATGACCTTGGTGCAGTAACGTTAGTCCCTGTCGGTCTCGGAGGCTGTGTTCGATCCCGAACCGCCTGGTGAGCCCGAGAAACCAGGAAATATTAAATCACTGACTAGACCAGTTATAAAGTAGTGCTAGCTAGCTAATGTAGCTATAAAGCAGGTCTTTGTACTCAGTGAGGTCATAGATGTCTCAGAAACACTCCGCAACAACTTTTAATCGTTTTTTAGGAAATAAAAAACTCTAAATGACCTTCAATAGCTAAAAAACATTTTCATTAAACTGTTAATGTGGTTTTAATCAGACTGGAACCAGTGAAATGATGATAACAGCTGACTGGATGAAGGAGGATAAAGAGTTTCGTCGCTGCGTCGTTTAGAATGCAGTGAGAGAGTGATAATACTCACCCACACACACAGAGAGAGAGAAAGAGAGAGAGAAAGACAGAGAGAGAGAGACAGACAGAGAGAGAGAGAGAGAGAGCTGGAGGGAGAGAAGGAGGGATGAGAGGAAATAGAGCAGAGAGGGATGTGGGTGGAAGAAGAGTGGGAGGGATGGACGGAGAGAAACACTGGTCTTCATCTGCTCCTTTTTTGCCGTTTCTGAAACACAGACATTTTTTTAAACACCTTTTATAAAATAAATGAAGATAAAGTGAAACATTGAGAGCTGCAGTCTCTGTAACAGCCAGCAGGGGGCAGCTCCACTCACAGTACGTGACATGAAGATGGGTTGCAATGAGCCTGAACAGGTTTGACAGTTTGATCTGAGTTTGGTGCGTTGAGCTGGACGGACTCACTGAGAATGAGCTGTCAATCACAAGGTAGCCCCGCCCTAAAGCATACCCTGCTTTATGGTCTGTTTGACTCTAAATGGGACCATCAGTTACTAAGATGAAACATCATGCTGTATGGAAGAAGACTGAAACTAGAGACTGAGACCAGAAACTCATCAGGAAACTGTTTACTGAGCTCAGAAATCAACTGAGAAGTCGACTCATTTCTCCATAAGACTCAATACTATTTGACTTTGTATGAAGCCAATGGAGCTCCCCCTGCTGACCATTACAGAGAATGCAGACCCGAAAGCTAAATAGAGAGAGTCTATACTGCAGTCAGCCACCAGGGGGAGATAGAGAGGGCCAGGAAAGGTTTTTGTAAACTTCACCAACTTAGTTTTTGTAATTTACAGAAACATTTCGGATTTACTGGGTATTTCATTTTCACAGGACAAATAAAAAATACAATATTAAAGTCAGTAAAATTACTAAAACTACTTGATCAAGAATGTTTTTAACTTACACAATTGAGTTTTCTTTACTTTGAACAGTTTTGTTTGACTTCAATCAACTTATCTGTCAGTGTTTTACTATAATATCTGATTTTACTGCTGTATATGTTTAATTGTGCCCTAAAAACGACTTAATTTAAAGAAATATAAAGTATAAAATCGTGTTTGTTTGCTCAGAGGTTTGAAGCATGTTGAATAAAGTTGTTATTTCAGCGTTTTCCTCAGATTTTGGTTTAATTCAAAGTCTGCAGGTTTTTATTGTTTCAGCAGGATTAGCTTATCTCCTCAGACCAGCTACAAACTCATTTCCAAAAGGTGTCGGAGTTAAACCGGCCGTTTCCTCCTCAGGTGACTCAAAAAGCACCTTCGTGTGCACTTTTTAAACTCTTCTACAGAGTCAGTTAATGTGTCTCCGACCCTGAAGAAATCCTTACTGACAGGTAATGGTAAAATGCTGCTTTTTCCCCTGTAATCTCAGATAACTGCCAAATATTTATCTCCAGCTCAGTTTATTGTCATGCAGGTAGGCTGGCGGAAAATTGCTCTGACATTTACACCTGACATATAGTAACAAACAGTGAAGTTAAAGAGAGCAGACGCGTCCATTAGTGTGAAGTCAAGCTGACAGAATGAGGACGAAACCTTAAAAAACTATACAGACTTTTAGGTCTTTAATATACAAGCAAACTTAAATAAATCTCTAATTAAACATTAATCTCCTACTGAATGAATCCAATAATGACTAACGACTATATTTAGTAAGTTAAAGACTAAATAAGTTGGTAACTTTAATAAGCTTTCACTATAATCTATTTTAAAGCCCATTTCTGCCAATTTGACGTAAAAATATTCTCTAAGTAAATTATAATGAGAAAGTTTCTCAAAAGATTGACTCAGAGATACAAATCATTATTTTATAATTGTTTACAACTTGCTAGTGATCTAGCGAGCAAATTCACATTAGTTCTTAGACAGTTAGCTAATGTTTTGCTAACATTGAGTTTTATCTTTTAACCAATCTTCAAAATGTGTCTTTTCAACAGTTGTAAAGTGAAACAGTTGTTGGTTCAACTTAATGTCTTAAGTTTATTGAAGACGTTTTCTCAAGTTCAGTTAATTGGTTTTACCACTCTTAACAAGAAAATGTTGTTCAACCAAAGTTAACTCACATCTTTAAAGCAGGAAATGAACATTTACTCTGAAGTTAAACCAGCTCAAAATGTTTGTATGAGGTCCCAAAGAAGTTGGGACACATTAATATAAAAATATATAGTGAATTTACACTACAAAAATAACAAAAATAATCTGAACCAGTAATGACGGCTGACAGATGAATGTAGTGAGATAAAAGGTAGAAGTTGGTATAAAGTCCAAGCAATAATGAAGACTGAGATGTGGCTGAAAGCCCAAGGAAGTTTGCATTAAATGTGGATTTTTGGTTTAGCATTGTTTTGTTTATTATTTTCATGTTATGTCCTGTGAGATTTATTTCATATTATTTGATTAATCTCCATAAACCCAAAACATACAATGTGAAATCAGAGTTATATGATTGTAGCATTTATTTTCTGCATGTTAGTTCACTGCAAACATCAGTTACTGTGTGAATATACTAGTTTTATTCATAA